CTCCTTCCCAGAATTCTCCTGTTCTCATTGCATCATTTCTACCGCCTGTCTGGTTTTCCCATCTATATTTCCTGCCTGGCCAATCAGCATTTATTTAAAACATGATTGACAGAATACAGACAATTCTCTAACACCAGCTGCCTCCCAAAATCTTACAAAAAAAAAAAAGAATCTGAACATGTCCAACAGCAGTGGGCAAAGCTCTTGGGATAATCCCCAGCAACACCCCACCACAGGGGTGAAAGGCTGGATATGCAGCAAGGACAATGGGAATGAAAAAGGAAAGGGCATTCAACAAATTTTTGAAAACATTAGGATAGAAGAAGCATAAAATGCTGAAATCTGACCAAGAAGGGACGCAAATTAGAAGCCAAATCTACCAGAGCAGTCAGGGCAGAACTGATTAAGCATGGACCACCAATAAAGCAGGCAGGAGTTCCAGCCCTGAAAAGAGATGTAGTTTAAGAAAGAAACAAACTAACTCATTCCCAGGCTCTCAGATCCTGAGTATGAACAGTTTCAGGTTGGGGATATCTGCCAACCTTCTTCAGTTCTCCCTCAGTGTATAAAGACCTCCAGTTCTAAGCAGTACGTACAATTAAATTATAAGATCTTCAATAACCCCACATCAGACAGAGGTCTGAGCTACAAAATATACAAAGAACTCAAGAAATTGGACACCAAAAGAGCACATAATCCAATAAAAAAAAAATGGAGTACAGACCGAAACAGAGAACTTTCAACAGAGGAATCTAAAATGGCTGAAAGGCACTTAGGGAAATGTTCAACATCCTTAGTCATCAGAAAAATGCAAATCAAAACAACTCTGAGATTCCATCTTACACCTGTAAGAATGACCAAGATCAAAAACACTGATGACAACTTATGCTGGAGAGGCTGTGGGGAAAAGGGAACACTTTTGCATTGCTGGTGGAAATGCAAGCTGGTAAAACCCCTTTGGACGTCAGTGTGGCGATTTCTCAAAAAATTAGGAAACAACTTTCCTCAAGACCCAACAATACCACTTTTGTGTATATATCCAAAGGATGCTCAATCATGCCACAGGGACATATGCTCAACTATGTTCACAGCAGCTTTGTTTGTCATAGCCTGGAAACAACCTAAATGCCCCTCAACTGAAGAATGGATAAGAAAAATGTGGTACATTTACACAATGGAGTACTACACAGCAGAAAAAAATAACAGCTTGAATTTTGCAGGAAAATAGATGGAGCTAAAAAACATTATTTTGAGTGAGGTAACCCAGACACAGAAAGACAATTATCACAGGTACTCACTCATAGGTGGTTTTTAAACATAAAGCAAAGAAAGTCAGTCTACAAACCACAATCCCAGAGAACTTAGACAACAATGCGGACACTAAGAGAGACTTACATAGATCTAATCTACATGGGAAGTAGAAAGTAGAAAAAGACAAGATCTCCTGAGTAAATTGGGAGCATGGGGACCCTAAAGGAGAGTTGAAGGGGGAGGGGAGCAGAGAAAAATGTAGAGCTCGATAAATAACAATTTAAAAAATGCTTCCATAAGATCAAGCTGTAGGCAAGCCTGCAGAGCATTTTCTTAGGGAAGGCCCAGCTCATTGGGTGGTGCCATCCCTGAGCTGGCAGTCCTGGGTTCCATAAGAAAGCAGACTGAGCAAGCCATGGGGAGCAAGTCAGTAAACCCTGGCCTCCTCATCAGTTCCTGCATCAAGGTGCCTGTCCTGTTTGAGTTCCTGTCCTGACTTCCTTGATAATGAACAATGGAAGCATATGACAAATAAACACTTTCCTCCCCAACTTGCTTTCTTGATCATGGTGTTTATGACAGCAATAAAAACCCTAAGATACAACTTATAGGGTGGGGAGGGTATTATATATAAATGAAATTTTAAATTTATATAATTTAAATTTACTGTCACACCACTTACATGTTTAACCTAGAAAATCTGTAAAAGAGCATTTACAAGTCAGAAACAAAAAGGTATGTCATGGGCTGGAGAGAGGGCTCAGTGGTAAAGCACTTATTATACAAGCATGAGAACCCAAGTTCAAACGTCCAGAATCCATGTAAAAGTCAAAGTAGCACATATCTGTAATCCCAGTGCTCCTTGGGGCAAGATGGGAAGCAGAAACAGGAAATTTCAGAAGCTCTGAGGCCAGAAACCGAGCAGATGCAACAAGAACAAGCAACTCTGTCTCAAACAAGGTAGAAGACAAGGACCATACCCAAGGGCACTCGCTGGTCTCAACACACAAGTGTTATGGCATATATAAACCCAGAACTCACACTCAGAAACAGAGAGATAATTAGTATAAACACATAAACAGGCAAGACTACATGTGGTGTTGTGCACAAGGTCTTTTAAACGTAGCTTCTACTCTTGAGGAATTAGTTTAAACTCTTTTTCTCCAATGTTTATTAACTTAAAAGTTCAAGTTAAAAAAATCATAAATCAAGTTTAGTGTCATTGCACAGTTTTAATCCCAACACTCAAGAGCCAGAGGAAGGCAAATCTCTGTGGAGTCAGCCTCGTCTACATGAGTTCCAGGACCGCCAGGGATACATAGTGAGACACCTACCCCCACCCAAAATAATAAATAAATAGATAGACAGATAGATAGATAGATAAATAAATAAATAAAAGATAAGCCAATGTTGTTTTCAAAGTTATCAAGCATGGTTATTAAAGTATTATGCTTTATTTGAATAGTTCACAAATATTTGATTCCCAACTATCCAATTTTACCATACACAACCCAAATAATTCAGGTACACATCTGCACTGTAAAATAAGGTGTACACAGTTTAGACCTTTACCCAGCTCCTCAAAACAAACAAACGAACAACCACTTATTTGCTGCAAGAGGATGCCAGAGGTAGCTCACAACAGCTCCTCTCTGCTACTCTGAGAAGAAAAGTTCCCGCACTTCTTCCCAGCAAAGGGCAGGAGAGAAAGAGCAGTGTAGCGTCCCTACAGCCCTCCATCTGAACCGTTTGCACTTTATCCAACATTCTAAAACCATATGCCGGAGTGCTTCAGTGTTGGAAAGAAACATACTCTATTTATCATGGGGTTCATTACACTCCACGTATGTTTTATTAATACTATTAACACCTGGTGTGGTGGCTCATGCTTCTAATCCCAGCTTTCAAGAGGCAGACAGGAGGACTAACTGAGAATTCACAAACAACCTGGACTACATAATACATTCCTGGTGAGGGGCAATGAAAGAAGGCCTCCATGTCAACCTCTGGCCTCTAAGTGCACATACTTGCATATACCTGAGCACAAATATAACACACACAATAAACAAATAAGTCAACTTTTAAAATATTTTACAAATCTGGGAGTGTACCTCAGTGGTGGCTAGCATGCCTGAGTCCATTAATTCAATACCCAATGCCACAACAACTTTGAGGGATGGGAATACAGCTCAGTAGGCAGAGAGTTAGCCTAGCATGCACGAAGCCCTGGGGTAAAACCCCACCACCCTTAAAACAAATCATGGTGGAAACAGGAAGATTAGAAGTTCAAAGTCATCTTCAGCTACACGGGGAGCTTGAGACCAGCCAGGGATACACAAAACCCTGTCTCAAAGGGGTGGGGAGCACACCTCACTGAATGTTACTGGTGTCTGCATAAAGTTGAAATTTTTACGTTTATTCTAAAGAATCGTTAAGTATTTCTTCATTACCTTAAAAAGTGCTTATTCTATCAGACTAATGATCCTTGCAACCCAACAGTCTTAGCTCTAAAATTGATACCAAAGAAACATAATCTCTGAGCAAACTATCCAATATCCCTTCCTTTGGAGAACCAACCTTTCCCCCTTCCCAAATTAATCTTTCTTTGATCCATGGAGAGCAGAGAAGCTAAACCAACTGGGTAACCCAGACAGAGGTCATTAACTTAGCCCACTTCCCCAGTCATTAACGTATGTGTCCAACCAAGCAGAGCGGCCTCCACAGACTTTCAACAAGCAAAGCTTACGCAGTGCTGTGAGCCATTATAATTATGGTAAGAGCTGCCGCCGGTGGTCATCTCTCACCACACAGAGCTCACCTATGAAGGAAGTACCATGGTGGCAAGATGATCCCTACTGATGTCAAACTTTAATAAGGGAAGTCTCTAGACAACTCTGTCCCCAGAGTATCTTAGCTTAAGCTACTTAAATCAGGGTTTCTGAAACTTGCACCCTAATACTCCAGTGTCTCTTGCATGAAACGAGATCATATTACAGGAAGTTGGATCACAAGGAACCACAGAAATGTTGTCATCTTCAAGTACCAGAGTTCCCATGTATTCCACATGTGCGTACCCCCCTGTCAACAGATTTTAAGGAACCCACTCTGAGCGGCCTATGTCACTCAGGTTTTCTTTCGCTCCTAACTTTTACAACTGTCAATCTGTCATTCGATTATGTTTGAACTTCAGGTGACTTATTCGAAGTGAACAAAGTGATGAGTAACCGACATTTGGCCCAGTGGCTCAATTCTCTTCCCTTCCCTTCTGCAATTATTATTAGGAAACCTAGATGCGGCCCAATAAAATCACAAGGGGCGGTTGTAAAAAGGGAGTCTTCAGTTGTTAAGACCCAGGAAAGTGAAAACCAGTCAAACAGCTGAGACCAGAGAGACCATTACGTGGCGGACTTCCTCCCAGGCAAGGCTCCTAGGTGACAGAGGCCACCCGGAAGGGAGAGCCGGGTAACAAGTCTTCTCACCGGGAAAGAATGCTGACCACACCTACGCCGCTGGCCTGAGTCAGGGTGGGGAGGCCAGGACTGGGGGGTGAG